TTCCCCTCTTCTTTTTACCCTTGTTTCTACAGCACTGAACTATTTGTTTCAGGGGTTACCACTCTCAAATCAGAAATTGAACTAAGTCTGTCTCGCCTTCTTATCTCTCAATATATAAATACAAATCAGAGTTCAAGTTACACGTGATTTGTCCATTTTAGAATCAATTTTCCAAATAATAACATACCACAAACTCTCATTGTTGATGTGTAATCTGTTTGCTCTGGTTAACACGCCTTTTGGCAATATTATAAGTTTCTCTTTGTTTGATGGAAACTATTCATGATCTTCACCACCTGTACCAAATCTCTGAGCCTTCAATTCCAGCCTCTCCAGTTTGTCAATATCACTGAAATTCCTCACTCCTGTCATAGATAGATAGAATCCCAACAGTGTGGAAACAGGCCCTTCGACCCAACAAGCCCACACTGACCCTCACAGCATCCCACCCAGATCCATCCCCTTATACCCCATCTAATCTACACATCCCTGAACAATATGGGCAATCCACCTATCCTGCACATCTTTGGACTGTGGGAGAAAACCAGAGCACTCGGAGGAAACCCACACAGTCATGGGGAGAATGTGCAAACTCCATACAGATAGTCAGCTGAGGGTAGAATTGAACCTAGGTTCCCTGGTGCTGTGAGGCAGCAGTGCTAACCACTGAGCTACTGTGCCACCCCAGACTAAATTCCTGTTCCCTTTATGTCCTTCCTGAATTATGAGTACCTTGTACAGGGTTTATTATGAGGAAATGCTATCGAAAACAGTGGTATCACGTTAATCTTGCATCAAGTCTCAGTTCAGCCATAAAGGAATGCTGCAAACAACTCTGAGTCTCCGTTTGTATGAAGAGGATAGAGCTGAACTGGAGTAGGTGCAAGAAAGATGGATTGAACGGGCTGAGACACTGACTAGATTGGGGACTTTAAGACCATGAATAGGTTCAATGAGGTTGGTGGAGAGAAGACACTCCGGAGATTAATGCTGGGGACCAGAAATATAATTAACTCAATAGGGAATTCAGGAGGATGCCTTTTAACTCAGACAGTGGTGAAAATATGGAACTTGCTTTCATGAGTGGTTTCTGCAAATCTGCTTGATGGATTGTTTTATTCTAAGCCTAATACAGACTGGATAAAAAAAAAATATTTTGCCCGTGAAGTAATGGGACACAAGGAGACAGCATACTCTTCCCATCTCAGTCGCAACGCAGTACACAGTAGCAATTTAGAACTCACAATTCTAATTGCCACAGAACTGTCTTCTCCCTCTCAAATTTTATGTCCCTCACGTTCACCATCCTCCGAATGACTGTTAACCTAATCCACCCTACTATCGCTCTGCTGCTTTTTCTTCAATTTCGGGTTCAATTTCATTGTCACTTACTGCCCTCCCAATGTGTCAAATAGCTTTTTAAAATCTTTACACTTGAAGTTAACAAACTGTTTTGTGCTAAGGTGGCGTCACAGACAAATCCGCTGACTACCCGTATGTACTTTGCGTCAAGATCATTGATGCGCCCTTCCCCGACGTTCTTCTGAATCGTGGGTGTTTGTATATGAGGTGCGAGGTCGTAATGGCGACTGGAGCTCCCACAAGGCCGCGCGCCATAGAAACCACTCTATCATTCGCGCAGAACACTGTCCCGGGAGAGCGCATGTTTCCCCGTTGGCCAATACGAAAATAAATCAGGTGTAGAGCTGGATGAACACAGCCAGCCAAGCAGCATCAGAGGAGCAGGAAGGCTGACGTTTGGGGCCTAGACCCTTCTTCAGAAATGGGAGAGGGGAAGGGGATTCTGAAATAAATAGGGAGAGAGGGGGAGGCGGATAGAAGATGGATAGAGGAGAGGATAGGTGGAGAGGAGACAGACAGGTCAAAGAAGCGGGGATGGAGCCAGTAAAGGTGAATGTAGGTGGGGAGTTAGGGAGGACGGACAGGTCAAGGGGGCGGGATGAGGTTAGTAGGTAGGAAATGGGGTGCGACTTGAGGTGCGAGGACGGAATAGGTGGGAGGAAGAACAGGTTAGGGAGGCGGGGACGAGCTGGGCCCACCAACTCCCACAGCTACCTAGAATACTCCTCCTCCCACTCACCTTCCTGCAAAAATGCCATCCCCTATTCCCAATTCCTTCACCTCCGCCGCATCTGCTCCCAGGATGAGGCATTCCACTCCCGTACATCTCAGTTGTCCTCGTTTTTCAAGGACCGCAACTTCCCCCACTCAGTGGTCGAGAACACCCTCAACCGTGTCTCCCACATTACCCGCAACTCATCCCTCACACCCCGTCCCCGCAATAAGAACCAAAAAAGAATCCCCCTCGTCCTCACGTACCACCCCACCAACCTCCGGATCCAACGCATCATCCTCCGACACTTCCGCCATCTGCAATCCGACCCCACCACCAAAGACATCTTTCCCTCCCCACCCTTATCTGCTTTCCGGAGGGACCACTCTCTTCGTGACTCCCTTGTCTGCTCCAGACTCCCCTCCAGCCCCACCACACCGGCACTTTTCCCTGCAACCGCAGGAAGTGCTACACCTGCCCCCATACCTCCTCCCTCACCCCCATCCCAGGCCCCAAGAAGACTTTCCACATCAAGCAGATGTTCACCTGCACGTCTGCCAATGTGGTATACTGCATCCGCTGTACCCGGTGTGGCTTCCTCTACATCGGGGAAACCAAGCGGAGACTCGGGGGCCGCTTTGCAGAACACCTACGCTCGGTTCGCAATAAACAACCGCACCTCCCACTCGCGAACCATTTCAATTCCCCCTCCCATTCCTCAGACGACATGTCCATCCTGGGCCTCCTGCAGTGCCACAACGATGCTACCCGAAGGTTGCAGGAACAGCAACTCATATTCCGCTTGGGAACCCTGCAGCCCAATGGTATCAATGTGGATTTCACAAGCTTCAAAATCTCCCCTCACCCTACCGCATCCCAAAACCAGCCCAGCTCGTCCCTGCCTCCCTAACCTGTTCTTCCTCCCACCTATCCCCTCCTCCCACCTCAAGCCCCATCCCCATCTCCTCCCTACTAACCTCATCCCACCCCCTTGACCTGTCCGTCCTCCCTGGCCTGATCTATCCCCTCCCTAACTCCCCACCTACACTCATCTTTACTGGCTCCATCCCCGCCTCTTTGACCTGTCTGTCTCCTCTCCACCTATCTTCTCCTCTATCCATCTTCTCTCCGCCTCCCCCTCTCTCCCTATTTATTTCAGAAACCCCTTCCCCTCCCCCTTTTCTGAAGAAGGGTCTAGGCCCGAAACGTCAGCCTTCCTGCTCCTCTGATGCTGCTTGGCCTGCTGTGTTCATCCAGCTCCACACCTTGTTATCTCAGATTCTCCAGCATCTGCAGGTCCTATTATCTCCGAAAGTAAATCAGGGCCCGTTGTTCACCCTGCCGTGAATGGACCAATGGAAAGCCCTGGAGGACCGGAAGGAGTCTGGTCCTCCTGCCAATCAGAGCTCCCCCATTGTTTGAATGCGGAAGTTAGACAAGAGCTTCTGAAGCTGTCCATTGCTGCTCAGCAAAGCTGCTGCTGCTCCTCTCTCTCTGAATGAAGATTGAGCTTCACCCCCAGACTGCAACTTCCTCCTCTGTCCAACATCTGTGAGCATAACACTCTCTTTTCTCATCACCTTTTGCATTTCTCCTGCTGAGGATCAATTGGTTGACTTTCATCAACTAAAGGGAATTGAATCCAGGGAGGGGACAGACTCTGGAAAGGTTAATCCAGGGCTTTCTTTCTCACTTAGACATTGACATCATTCCCTTTCTCAGAGTGACACAGTTATCGGTCTTGCTAAAAAGATGGCTTCTTTCCTAAGATTCACAATTAAAGGTGCGGTTTCTCCAAGGGATGGCGGCCATTTAAGGGGACAGTGATAGAGGACAGAGGTATAGCTAGATTTGTTATCTGTTCTGGTGAAGAGGAGTCACCGGACTCGAGATGTTAACTCTTCTTTATTCCCACAGATGCTGCCAGACCTGCTGAGTTTCGTTAACAATTTCTCTTTTTGTTACTGTCCGGTCCACGTACGTTATATATTTATTGTAATAATGTACTTGTATTATCATTCTTACTCACATTTGTTTTTTTTGCTGTATTACATATTTCAGTGATGTGTTTTACAGTTCAGAAATAATCCATTCAGTAGCTCGTGTAGAGCAATCCAGTCAGTGCCATTTGCCTTTTATATCCTTGTAGCCCAGCTATTTTCGTCAAGTACCTACCTGATTTCAGTTTCAAATTATTAATTGTCTTTGTGTCCACCGTCGGGGAAGCAAAGTTCCAGGACATGGCCACTCATTGCACATCCCACCTCTGTCTCGAGCTCGCTGATAGAGTACTGTATATGATGGAGTTTTACTCTACAATGCATTCATAGGTGATCAGCCTGTAGGATGATTTACAGGTCTCTGCATTGATGACAGGAAAAAGCTGGCAGATCCTGTCATTCATGTTGACTTGGCACTTAGAGGAAAATGGAGTACAGCAGATTGAGAATGGAGGGAGAGTAGGTTTAATGGATATTTACAGCTTTTGTGGAATGATAGAACAATCCACTGAGGCTAAAGTTGTCTGTTCTCCATTTCTGTTCTGGTCTGTCTGTGATAACTTTTGCAAACTCCTTTTACAGGATGTTTGAAGGAGAGGATTTGCAGACGGAATTCTCAAACCAAATGCAACATCAACATCTGTTCATCAGGACTTTAAGATCATCAGCCTTTGGATGCGGAGGTGAAGTGTTTGTTGTGCTGTCAGCTGCAAAAAGTTCTGGAATAACTGGGAAAGAACATAAGAACATAAGAACATAAGAACTAGGAGCAGGAGTAGGCCGTCTGGCCCTTCGAGCCTGCTCCGCCATTTAATAAGATCATGGCTGATCCTTTAGTGGACTCAGATCCACTTACCTGCATTCTCACCGTATCCCTTAATTCCTTTATTGTTCAAAAAAATATCTACTTTTTTTTTAAAAACATTTACTGAAGTAGCATCAACTACTTCACTGGGCAAGGAATTCCATAGAAAAGCACTGAAACAAACTCACACATACAAGTGGGAGTGTTCCAGTGCACAGACTGTGGAGAGTTTTAATCAGTTACTTATTCTGGAAAAAGTTGCAACACCATTCACATCAGGGAAGAGACTGTACAGGGGCTCTGTGTGTGGACGACATTGTGACTGATCATCAAACCTGGAGAAACAAGGACGCCCATGCCATGGAGAAACCTTGGAAATGTTGGGACTGTGGGAAGGGGTTTAGTTTCTCATCTGCATTGGAAACGCATCGAAATGTTCACACCGGGGAGAGGCCGTTCACCTGCTCCATGTGCGGGAAGGGGTTCACTCAGTCATCCAGCCTGCTGAAACACCAGCGGGTCCACACCGGGGAGAGGCCATTCACCTGCTCGGTGTGCGGGAAGGGCTTCACCCAGTCGTCCAACCTGCTGAGGCACCAGCAAGTCCACACGGGGGAGAGGCCGTTCTTCTGCTCGGAGTGCGGGAAGGCGTTCACTCAGGCGTCCAACCTGCTGAGGCACCAGCGCGATCACACGGGGGAGAGGCCCTTCACCTGCTCAGAGTGCGGGAAGGGCTTCAGCCAGTCGTCCCATCTCCTCAACCACAGGCGGGTTCACACCGGCGAGAGGCCGTTCACCTGCTCTGAATGTGGGAAGACATTCACCCAGGCGTCCAACCTGCTAATGCACCAGCGCGCTCACAGTGGGGAGAGGCCGTTTACCTGCTCCGTGTGTGGCAAGGGATTTAATGACTCTTCCACCCTTCTGAGGCACCAGAGGATCCACACAGGGGAGAAGCCGTTCACCTGCTGTCAGTGTGGGAAAGCATTCGTTCATTCATCTAACCTACTGAGACACCAGAGAGGGCACAAGTGATGGCGCTGCGGGGGGTTGGATTCTGCTGTGAGTTGCATCCAGGACTGAACCATTTTCATTCTGGGGCTGGAGGGGTTTCCTTTTTCCGTTCAGCCCATCGGGTCTGCACCGACCCTCCAAAGAGCAGCCCGCCCAGACCCACCTCCCCCTACCCTGTCCCTGTAACTCTGCGTTTCCCATGGCTAACCCACCTAGCCTGCACATCGCTGGATGGATACTTCGATGGGGCAATTTAGCACGGCTAAATTGGGTAGGGGATGGCCTAATGGTATCGTCGCTGGACTGTTAATCCAGAGACCCAGATTCGAATCCCACCACAGCAGATGGTGGAATTTGAATTCAATGAATATCTGGAATTAAGATATTAATCCATTGCCGATTGTCAGGAAAAACCCATCTGGTTCACTAAATGACCTTTAGGGAAGGAAACTGCCATCCTTACCTGGTCTGGCCTACATGTGACTCCAGACCCCACAGCAATGTGGTTGACTCTTAACTGCCCTCTGGGCAATTAGGGATGAGCAATAAATGCTGGCCTACCCAGCGATGCCCTCATCCTGTGGATGATGAATAAAGACAGTCCACCCCAACCTGTGCATCTTTGTACTGTGGGAGGAAACCGGAGCACCCGGAGGAAACCCACACAGACACGGGGAGAATGTGCAAACTCCACACAGACAGTCGCCCGAGGCTGGAATCGAACCTGGTTCCCTGGCGCTTTGAGGCAGCATGGTTGAGATAGTTGAGCAAGGAAGACCTTCTGAATGTCAACTTTTATCCCCAAAGTGACCACGACTTTGTGTCATGGTGTGAGGCCTGTGACGACTCTGTTCAGTTCTGGTCTCCCTGCTATAGAAAAGATGTTGGGAAACTTGAAGCTTGAAAGGGTTCAGAAAAGATTTACGAAGATGTCACCGGGGTTGGAGGGCTTGGGCTATAGGGAGAGGCCGAATAGGCTGGAGCTGTTTTCCCTGGTGTGTCACAGGCCGAGGGCTGACCTTATAGAAGTTTATAAAATTATGAGGGGCATGGATAGGGTGAATAGACAGAGTCTTTTCCCCAGGGTAGGGGAGACCAAAACTAGAGGGGCATAGGTATACGGTGAGAGGGGAAAGATTTAAAAGGGAGCTAAGGGGCAACTTTTTCACGCAGAGGGTGATGCATGTATGGAACGAGCTGACGGATGAGGTGGTGGAGGCTGGTACAACTGCAACATTTAAAAGGCATCTGGATGGGTACATGGATAGGAAGGGTTTAGAGGGATAGGGGCCAAATGCTGGCAAATGGGACTATGTCAGATTGGGATGTCTAGTCGTCTGGACAAGTTGGACCCAAGGGCCTGTGTCCGTGCTGTCTGACTCTATGACTCTGATTCACACGAACGTTTGAAAACTGGCTGAATCCTGGTAAATGGGACTGGATTAATTTAGGATATCTGGTCGTTATGGATGAGTTGGACCAAAGGGTCTGTTTCCATGCCGTACATCTCTGTGAGTAGAATTCCAAAGTAGGGACGTTGTTTAGCTTGTTTTGAACTGGAGTTGCGCTCCACTGGGAGTACTGACAGCAATCTGCGATCTCATTTAGGAACAATACAAATCAGGGCTCTCGAGAAGGTGTCACACACAAACCCTGGTTAGACCCCACTTGGAGTACTATGAGCAAATCTGGGCACCACCCCTTAGGAAGGATGTATTAGCCTTGGAGGGAGTACAGTGTAGATTTAGAAGTGTGATCCCTGGACTTCAGGGGTCACGTTAGACAAATTAGAACTGTTTTCTCAAGAATTTAGAAGGTTAAGACGTGATCTGATTGAGGTCTTCGGAGATTCTAGGACTAGGGGTCATGGTCTGAGAATTAGGGTAAGACCATTCAAGAGGGATGTTAGGAAACACTTCTATGCACTTATGGTTGTGCAGGTTTGGAACTCTCTTCCACAAATAGCAATTACTCAGTTGCTAATTTTAAATATGAGATCCATTTTTGTTAAGCAAAGATATTAAGGAATATGGACCAAAAGCAGGTTTATAGAGTTACAGATCACCATGATCTCATTGAATGGTGGTACAGACTCAAAGGGCTGAATGGCCTACTCCTGTACCTATGTTCCTATTACCAGAGCTGAGAGCATTTAAGCCTCAGGAAAGGGTGGCTCGGTGGTTAGCACTGCTGCCTCACAGGGCCAGGGATCCGGGTTCAGTCCCTTTCTTGGGTGACTGTCTCTGTGGAGTTTGCGTGTTCTCCCCACGTCTGCGTGTCTCTCCTCCCGTGGTCTACAGATGTGTAAGTTAGCTGCATTGGCAGTGGGAAATGTGGGGTCATTGGGACAGGGTGAGATGCACTTTGGAGGGTTCAATGGATTGCAGATTGAATGGGCCAAATAGCCTCTATCTGCATGATGAAATGCTGGGGAGGTTTTCTTTCGAATAGACTGTGGGACTGCCTCCCATAGCAAGTGGTTGAGGTGAACAGTAGGAATACATTTGAGGGGAAGCTGGATACAGGCATGGGGGAGAAATGAATTGAAGGATGTGCTAATAGGGAAGGTGAAGAGGGGTGGGTGGAGGGTCATGTGGCGTATAAACACTGACAGAGACCAGTTGAGCCCACTGCCCTGCCCCTGTGCTGGAGATTCAATGGAACAGTGTTTAATGTATTTATTTGCGGTCTGCCTGCAGCGGTAGGAAGGACAAAGCCACTGAGATAGTGTATGCATTGATTTTGATTTTCCAAAACTACCTAGATTCCGGGAGGTACCCATTCAATTGTAAAAGTGACCCCTTTATTCAAGAAGGGAGAGAGACAGAAAGCAGGAACCTCCAGGCCAATTATCACAACTTCTGCCATTCAGAAGATGTGAGAAGTTACTGATTAAAAATATTAAAGCAGGGCACTTAGATACGATCGAGGTAATCAGGATTTTGTGCAGGGGAAACCATGTTTAACCAAGCTCCTGGAATGCTTTGAGAAAGTAATGTCTGCTGTGGATAATGAGGAACCAGCGGGTCTGCTGTATTTAGACTTGCCGAAAGCATTTGATTCAATGCCACGTCAACGTTTACTGCAGAAAATAAAAGCTCATGCCACAGAGAGCAGCAGACTGGCATGGATAGAGGACTGGCAAGCTAATAGGGTGTGGGAAGGGGCATAAATGGGTCTTTTTCAGGTTGCAAGACATAACAAATGGTGTGCCACAGGGATCAGTGCTGGGCCTCAATGGTTTACGATTTAAATAAATGACTTGGAAATTTACCAGATTTACTGATTATTAAAAATATCGGTAGGAAAGCAAGCGCTGAAGAGGACCTGGGGGCTACAGAGAAGTATGGATAGGTTAAGTGAGTGGGAAAAATAAAGCAAATGGAGTGTAACATGGGAAAATTGTCCATTTTGAGGAGGAATAAAAACATTATCTAAATGCTGAGAGATAGCAGATCTCACGGATACAAAGGGATCTGCAAATGAATCACAAAGGGCTGCTCTGCAGGTATAGCAAGTAATTCGGAAAGCTAATAACAGGAATATTATAATTTATTGCAAAGGAATTGAATATAAAAAGTAGAGACAAACACAGAAATTGCTGGAAAAGCTCAGCAGGTCTGGCAGCATCTGTGGAGAGCATTCAAGAGTTACCATTTCAGGTCCAGTGACCCTTCCTCAGAACTGAGGTCAATTTCCAAGTAATTTTAAGTCGCAAACAGTTGAGGTCCACCACTGATCCCTGTGACACACCATTTGTCAACCTGAAAAAAGACCCATTTATGCCCGCACCCTGCTTCCTACTAGCTGGTTCTGAGGAAGGGTCACTGGACCTGAAATGTTAACTCTGATTTCTCTCCACAGATGCTGACAGACCTGCTGAGTTTTTCCAGCAATTTCTGCTTTTGTTTCTGATTTACAGCATCTGCTACTCTTTAGGTTTTTATGCAAAAGTGAGAGGTTTATAATTTCAGTTACACAGTGTATTCATGTGACCACATCTGGAATGTATGTACAGTATTGGTCACTTTATTTAAGGAAAAAGGCAAAGCAATTCAGAGAAGTTTGCGATTCTAATACCTGGAATGGGCAGCTTGCTTTATGTGGGAAAGTTGGACATGTTAGGCTTGCACCTTTTGGAGTTTCAATGAGTAAGGAGTGACTTGCAAACAGGTAAGATCCTGAGGGAACTTGATAGGGTAGATGTGGGCATAAGGTTACCTAAGATTACAAGAGACCTTGATCAATTGGGTCAATGGGCTGAAGAGTGGCAAATGGAGTTTAATTTGGATAAATGTGAGGTATTCCATTTTGGTAAAACAAACAAAGACAAGACTTATACAATTAAAAGTAGGGCCTCTGGCAGTGTTGTAGAACAGAGAGACGTAGGAGTTCGGGTACATAATTCTTTGAAGTTTCCATCCCAGAGTGGTTAAAAAAGTGTTTAGCACACTTTGCCTTCATTGCTCAGACCATTGAGTACAGAAGTTGGGACGTTATGTTGAGGTTATACAGGACGTTGATGAGGCTTCTTCTGGAGTATTGTGTCCAGTTCTGGTCTCCCTCTTATAAGGAGGATATTATTAAGCTGGACACGGTTCAGAAAAGATTTTTCAGGACGTTGCCAGAAATTTGGGTTTGGGGAATGCTTTCCAACAGTCTGCATATTTCCAAAACGTCCCACATTTCAGCATAGTGTGAGTGTCGTTGAGTCTCTACAGGTTCAATGATGATGAGGTTAGTAGGCTCGCCGAGCTGGTTTGTTGTTCCGCAGATGTTTCGTTACCGTGCTGGGTAACATCCTCAGTGCAGCCTCTGATGAAGCGTCGGTGTGTTTTCCCGCCTGGCTTTTAAACTCTGGGGTCCGTTGCGATGGATTGCCTCACTTCCGGGTTTCCTCCGGAGTGGAATGTATATGGGGTCGAGTTCAATGTGTTTATTAGTAGCCTGCTTCGTGGAGTGCCATGCTTCCAGGAATTCTCGTGCTTGTCTCTGCCTAACCTGTCCCAGGATTTTGGTGTTGTCCCAGTCGAAGTCGTGGTTCTCCTTGTCCATGTGGATTGAGATGAGTGAGTATTGGTCGTGTCTTTTTGTAGCCAGTTGGTGTTCATGTACTCTTGTTAGTTTCCTTCCTGTTTGGCCAAGAGAGGAGGAATACCTCTTCCAAGTGTTGAAGGATAATGGATATCCAAAGAACTGGATCAGGAGATGCCTGCAGGAACAGCATCAGAAAGATTCTTCACTCCCTGACACACTCATCACACTACCCTACATCAGGAACACGTAAGAACTCACCACAAGACTCCTACGACCGCTGGGCATCAGAGTGGCACACAAACCCACATCAACCCTCGGACAAGTGCTCACCCGAACTAAAGACCCATTCCCCGCCATGGACAGGACCAATGTCATCTAAAAGATCCCCTGCAGAGACTGTGAGAAACACTACATCGGACAAACAGGAAGGAAGCTAACAACAACAGTACATGAACACCAACTGGCTACAAGAAGACACGACCAATACTCACTCCTCTCAATCCACATGGACAAGGAGAACCACGACTTCGACTGGGACAACACCAAAATCCTGGGACAGGCTAGGCAGAGACAAGCACGAGAATTCCTGGAAGCATGGCACTCCACGAAGCATGCTATTAATAAACACATTGAACTCGACCCCGTATACATTCCACTCCGGAGGAAACCCGGAAGTGAGGCAACCCATCGCAACGGACCCCAGAGTTTAAAAGCCAGGCAGGAAAACACACCGACGCTTCATCAGAGGCTGCACTGAGGATGTTACCCAGCACGGTAACAACAAACCAGCTCGGCGAGCCAACCAACCTCAACACCCACAACCTGAGCTCCAAACCTTAATTCAATGATGAGTTGAAGCCACAAACACACACAGGACACGTGTACAAACTCTCCCACTTGGAAAAGCAGGACGTGTTTTCAGACTATGGACCTGGTTAAAGCTCTTTCCGCAGTCAGTTCTCTAGAGCACTCCCAATTGGTTTGACTTTGAGCTTTTCTGGTCACAGTGGTGCCTCACATCATTTGTCACAAACAGACATCCCATGGGCAGGGAAAATCTGAGAATCCCGGAACGTAGTTGGGGATGAATGTGGGATGATGAGCTAAGTCTGACCTAGCGCTGATTGAAGCAGAGACAGGGAGACAGTGGCAGAGAGGAGTTTGTGGGAGCTGGAGGTGAAACAGTGGCACTGGATGTAAACAGAATGATACCAACACCAAAGGAAGGAGACGGTGCCTGGAATGAAGGAGGATAAAATGCAGCAGCGTGTGTGTCCCCTGAGGGTGTGCATTGATGCTGGTCCCTAGTTGAAAATGCCCCTGGTCTATCCTGTGCAAAGTGCTGTCCTTTCAAACAACACTGGGACAATCTGCAGCAAAACCTGCTGCTGGGACTCCAAGGTTCCGGGGGAGGGCTGAGGGACTGCGCATGTGCGGGGCCGGGCGGTGTCGTCACAAAGGGCCGGGACACGGTTCGCCTATGGGAAGCCTTGGAGGACCGGAAGGAGCCTGGTCCTCCTGCCAATCAGAGCTCCCCCATTGTCTGAATGTGGAAGGTGGACAGTGAGCTCCTGAAGCTGCCCCATTGCTGCTCAGCAAAGCTCCTGCTTCTGCTCCTCTCTGTCTGAATGAAGATTGAGCTTCACCCCCAGACTGCAACTTCCTCCTCTGTCCAACATCTGTGAGCACAGCACTCTCTTTTCTCACCCACACCCTTTTCCATTTCTTTTCTCATTCTGATCTTGAATTTGTTGATTTGTAGTGACTGGAGGGAAAGGAAGTGAATCCGGGGAAGGGGCAGACTGTGGAAAAGGTTGGTCTTAAAGATATTGATATGCTTTGTTCTGATAGTCTCTTACCTAATGATCTCAATTAATGGAGTGGTTTCGCTAACATTTAATAGGCTGATATAGTGATATCAGTTATCCATTGGTAATACAGAACTTGAATATTGCTGAGTAAAGGGCCATGCTGATGGAGATTTTTCTCTTGAACTCATCAGACCGATGCCAAGAATACCAAATCTGAAAGAGCTATATGGCACCAGAAACCAGAGTGAGATTTTTACCCTTTTGAGATATTCTCGAGATTCGGTTTTGGATTTTCAGGAGCTCCGTTTTCAATTGCGTTAAATCCTTTCTTTGATGATACCGTCGCACAGGCAGTCCCGTGTCCTGCGTTTGTGTTGAATTTTAAAAAATATTTTCTTCAAACTAATCAACTAGCATGAGTAGGAAAGACTATGGTCATACATATCATTAATACTTTAACTTGAAATCTATATCAAATGAGCAATCTTGAACCAAGCAACATAGATTGCAGGAAAGGGGCCTCTCATTTAAGATTGAGGTGAAAATTTATTCTCTCAGTGGGTTGTTAGTCTGTGTAGTACTCTTCCACATTATGCAATGGAGGCTGGGGCGTTTAAAATATTCAAGGGTGGGCATTCAATAGATTTTTGATCAAAGAGTTGTGGAGGCTTATGGGAGAAAGGCAGGATAGTGGAGCTAATGGCCACAGCAGAGCAGCCTAACTGACTGGCCTTGTCCTGCCTGTAATTCTTATATGCTGTGTCTGGCACAGTAAGAGGTGATGTGGATCTGTCAATCAACTTAAATTTGCAACTTCAAGAGGCAGCTGAGGGTGCATGTTATGTGCAGTAGAATGAGAATGGAGGGAGATTGTGTCAGATGAGATTGTTGGAACAGGAGAGTAGAAACTAGAATGATTCATTATGACTTCCTACCCTGAACTGACGGCGATCGCTTTTTAAATCTCTTTTTGCAGGATAATTGGAGGTGAGAATTTGCAGAAGGAAATCTCAGGCTGACATCACATCAAAGCTCTGAGAACTCGCTCAATTCTCCAGCTTAGCATCAGGCTTAGAATTCGAAAGAGAAATGTTTGTCTGTTCTGCCCGCTTCGAAAGGTTTCAAACATCATCGTGACTGGGAGACACTGCGCACGGACTGTGGAAAGAGTAGCAGCAGAGCCCGAAAAGTCACCTCACAATATACGGCGAGAAGAGAGACCCTACATGTGTTCTGTGCACGCACCAACTTTCAACTGGGTCGTCAACTCTGGACAGGCATAGAGGGAGCGGCGCCATGGAGAAACCGTGGAAATGTGGGGACTGCGGGAAGGGTTTCTGCTCCCCGTCTTCCCTCGAAACGCACCGGCGCAGTCACACCGGGGAGAGGCCGTTCACTTGCTGCGTCTGCGGGAAGGGGTTCACTCAGCTGTGCAGCCTGCTTTTGCATCAGCGGGTCCACACCGGGGAGAGGCCATTCTCCTGCTCGGCATGCGGGAAGAGCTTCACTCACTCGTCTTCCATGCAGCGGCACGTGCGGATCCACACGGGGGAGAGGCCGTTCACCTGCCCCACGTGCGGGAAGGGCTTCAATCAGTCGTGCAGCCTGCAGACCCACCAGCGGGTCCACACGGGGGAGAGGCCGTTCTCCTGCCCCGTGTGCGGGAAAGGGTTCACCCACTCCTCCGCCATGCTGCAACACCAGCGGGTCCACACGGGGGAGAGGCCGTTCACTTGCTCCGTGTGCGGGAAAGGGTTCACTCACTCGTCCGCCATGCTGAGGCACCAGCGAGACCACACCGAGGAGAGGCCCTTCATCTGCCCGGTGTGCGGGAAGGGTTTCAGTCAGTCGTGCAACCTGCAGTCACACCAGAGGGTCCACACCGGGGAGAGGCCATACTCCTGCCCGGTGTGCAGGAAGGGATTCACTCACTCCTCCGCCATGCTGAGGCACCAGAGGGTCCACACCGGGGAGAGGCCGTACACCTGCAGCTTGTGCGGGAAGGGCTTTGGTCAGTTGTGCAGCCTGCAGACCCACCAGCGGGTCCACACTGGCGAGAGGCCTTACACCTGCTCCGAGTGCGGGAAGGGATTCACTCACTCCTCTGCTATGCTGCAACACCAGAGGGTCCACACTGGCGAGAGGCCGTTCATCTGCCCCGCGTGCGGGAAGGGATTTACCCGCTCCTCCCACCTGCTGAGACACCAACGAATTCACAAGTGACAGCCAGAATCGGATTTTGCCATTGTCGTTCCTGTGAGTCACGTCCGGGCCTGAACTGTGTCAGTTCTGGTGGAGGGTCTCCTTTCTGCTGCCCTGGCCGCTCTCACCCGCTTCGCTTCCAGTGGGGCTGATGCCTTTTGAGCACATTCCCGCTGAACTGATCCTCGGAGGCTGAGCAAGTAGAATTTATTGCCGCGCCGGGTCGTAAGGTTTTCATCTCTCACTCATCAGGACACAGACGCAAGAATGCCAAATCTCAAATGGAACTGCAAAATATGCAACTGCTGATTGGTTGGCAAATCACCTCTGCTTGGCCATGGCATGGCCGAGGAGTGTACGAGGGAGTGATTGTCCTCCTCCTGGTAACAATGTGAGAATATATTTGCCTCATTTAAGAATGAGGAGGCAAATGGGCTGTTTGTTTCACTTCTGTGAAGGTAGCATTTTCTCAAGAGGTCATGAGGTCACTTGGAACACGTGTTAAATACCTTATTTCTAAGAAAGCACGTGACTTAATACCTCAATCAAATTCTTATGGAGTTAACTGATGAAATGTTTGCAATTCTGGGTTTTACGATGTACCAAAGCACAAATGGTCAGTGGCCGTGGGAGGTCTTGAGTTTAGAACAATCAGGTTTCTGGTCTGAAAGGCAGTTTAATTGCAGCAGAAGAAGAAGTTGCTGTGAGATGAAATTGAGAGAGTTTGTAGCATTCTTCTGGCTATCGGAACAGACAAAAAAATCCAGGCTCTCCAAACTGGAAAGATATTCTTTAGCCATTAAATCAGGAAACAGTCAGTCGAGTAAGGCACCATCAAGTTGAGAAAGGAGTGGTACATCACTGGGACTGAGCATCCAGCAAGAATATTGCTGAGAAAAAGACTGAACTTTTCGGTTTACTTTTATGTTGAGAGATTTCTAATTTGCCATATACATGATTTTTTTTAAAAGAAATATTTGGTATAATGTGTGTCCTTTTTGGAAAATAAAGCAGTGGCCTTGTGTGAATTCCTTCAGTGAATAATCTCCATGGTTACCAACTGCGAAAATAAAACTCCATGATCCATGATAGTAGGAACTGCAGATGCTGGAGAATCTGAGACAACAAGGTGTAGAGCTAGATGAACACAGCAGGCCAAGCAGCATCATAGGAGCAGGAAGGCTGACGTTTCGGGCCTAGACCCTTCATCTCCATGATCCGTGAATCCAGTTTTCAGTCTGGGATCAAATTTGTCCAGTATTACAGTATCATCTGGGATCATAAAGTAGGGGGGAAGAGGTAAGGAATTTGTGGAATTAAGGTGGATCTGTGAATCTTTTAAGGAACAGTATGTGGGAAGGACTAGACATAAAATGGGAATGTTGTTATAGAGTCATACAACACGGAAACAGACCCCTCGATCCAACCAGTCCGTGCCGACCATAATCCCAAACTAAACTAGTCCCACCTGCCTGCTCCTGGCCCATAGCCCTCCAAACCTTTCCGGCTCATGTACTTACTAAATGTCCTTAAAACGTTGTAACTGTACCCGCATCCTCCACTTTCTCTGGATTGGATTTGATTTGACTTATTTTCATTTGTACCTAAGTACAGTGAAAAGCTTTGTTTGCGAGCAGTACAGGCAGATCATAGTAAGCAAGGACTGTAGGGTGAAAGAAAAAAACTTGGATGGAGTAAGGCACACATGGGACATCTGCTAGGCAAGATCGGCATTAACAAAAGAACGTTATCAGTCATTAATAGATTTAGAATTTAACTTTAAAAGTGTAGAACGGTTATAAGAAATGTTAGATTCAGATTTGCTGCAGGGAGCTCGTAAGGAGTCGCTCGGTTTTGGCGCCATCTTGAATTGTAGTTCATTCCGTACACAAACCACTCTCTCTGTTCAAAAAAAAACTTACCCTCGTCTTTCTTAAAATCTTTCTCCTCTCGCCTTAAAAATATGCCCCCGGTCTTGAAATCCCCCCACCTAAGGGAAAAGACACCTGCCATTCAACTAATGAATACCCCTTATGATTTTATAAGTCTCAATAAGTCACCCCTCAACCTCCTACGCTCCAGAGAGAAAAGTCCCAGCCTCTCCTTATCACTCAAACCCTCCATACCTGGCAACCTCCTGGTAAATCTCTTCTGAACCCTCTCCAGCTTAATAATATCCTTCCTATAACAGAGCAACTGGACACAGTACCCCAGAAGAGGCTTCACCAATGTCCCGTGTGAACTCGACATAACGTTCCCAACTCCTGTACTCAAAAGGTGGGAAAAGTATATTGCGCAGATGGGACTCCCGAAACGGCTTTTGATAATGTTTGGATTGTTACGGGAGTCGAAGTTGTGAGGGCGGTTTATTGACTTGGGGGGATAGCGACCGAGTGATTGTATTGGGAATTTGGTCCAAAGTCAGAATTTGGCTAAAATCTTTGTCACGCTTAACTTTTGAGGAAGACTTTAAGGCAATTAAAATTGCCCAGCTAAAACAGGGCGGTGGCTGATAGTAACAGTTATCTACCAATCAGCTGAAATCCCTTGCCTGAATCGAGAGCTGAAAACTATGGTAGGAAGCTAATTCAGCGAGTAACCCATCACAGTTGGAACTTGTAGATTGCACGGTCAGTAAAAGAAGCACCAGTCAGTGTGAGGAAGATCTTGTCTGAGCTAGATAGTGGGCCAAATGATTAAATATTAGTAAAAACCGAAAGAACTTGTGGATGCTGTAAATCAGGAACAGAAACAGAAGTTGCTGGAGAAGCTCAGCAGGTCTGGCAGCATCGGTGAAGAAAAAAAAATGTCAGTTAACGTTTCGGGTCCAGTTTCTGAAGAAAGACCACAAACGCTAACTCTGATTTTTTTTTTCCTTCACAGATGCTGCCAGACCTGCTGAGCTTTTCCAGCAACTTCTGTTTTTGTTTCTGAGGAAATACGAGTGCTGTAGAACAGAGGGACCTGGGGGTTCAGGTACATAATTCTTTGACGTTTGCGTCACACATAGACAGGGTGGTTAAGAAGGTGTTTAGCACGCTTGCCTTCGTTGCTAAGACCTTTGAGTTGGGACGTCATGTTGAGGTCGTTGGTAAGGCCACTTCTGGAGTACTGTCTCTAGTTCTGCTTACCCTGTCAAAGGAAGGATATTAGTGGTTAGTAGCTCTGCCTGTTATGTGGGAGACTGGGGTTCAATTCCCCTCTGGGAAGAGTTCAAGCATTTTTAGGGTGGCACGGTGGCTCAGTGGTTAGCATTGCTGCTTCATAGCACCAGGGACCCAGGTTCGATTCCACCCTTGGGCGACTGTTTGTGTGGAGTTTGCACATTCTTCCCCCGTGTCTGCATGGGTTTCCTCCCACAGTCCAAAGATGTGCAGGTTAGGGTGGATTGGCCATGCTAAATTGCCCCTAGTGTCCAGGGATGTGTAGATTAGGTGGGTTATAGGGGGATGGGTCTTGGGGGGGATGCTCTGAGGGTTGATGTGGACTTGTTGGGCCAAAGGGCTTGTTTCCACACTGTAGGGATTCTATGATCATTAAACTGGAGATGATTCAGAGATGCTCAAAGGGAGGTTTACTGTGGTGAGTAAAGTGTGCATGCATTTGGCAATTCATATTATTAGAGGGGGGGGAATGTGTTTGCATGGGAGAGATTTATCAGGATGTTGCCTGAGCTGGAGAGTTTTCATCACAAACAGAGATTGGATAGACTGTGGCTGTTTCTCTGGCAGCAGAGGAGACTGAGGCACAAACATAATGGAGATGTATAAAGTTATGAGGGACATAGACAGGGTAAACAAGAAGCAACATTTTTCCCCTTGATGGAAGGATCCATGACCGGGGCATAGATTTAAGGTAAGGGGGCAGGAAATTTGGAGGAGATTGCAGAATCCCTGCAGTGTGGAAGCAGGCTGTTTGGCCCATCAAGTCCACACTGACCCTCCAAAGAGCATCCCATCCAGACCCACCATATCCTGGTAACCCTGCTTTTCCCATGGCTAACCCATCGAACCTGCACAATTTAGCATGGCCAATTCACCCTAACCTGCACATCTTTGGACTGTGGGAGGGAACCGGAGCAAACCCACACAGACACGGGGGGAGAATGCGCAAACTCCCACACAGACAGTTGCCTGATGCTGTGAAGCAGCAGTGCTAACCACTGAGTCACCGTGCCTTCCAAAGGAAAGTTTTTTTTTAACCTAGAGGGTGGTGGGAATCTGGAATTCGCTGCCTGTAAGGGTGGGATAGAGGCAGAAATGCTCACAACATTTAAGAAGTATTTCGATGTGCATTATGATGTCAAGGCATACAAAGCTATGGGTCAAATTCTGGAAGGTGGGATTAGATTAGTGAGGTGTTTGTGTTTGACCAGTGCAGGTTGGATGGGCCGAAGGGCCTTTATCTGTGCCGTAGACGTCTACAATTAGGAGCTGAGTGGGGAGTTCCGTGAAGAATGGGAAGGGGGTGTTTTTTGTTTTCCCCGCTCCTATTTGTCTTCAGCCTCCAGCATTTGATTTTCAGTGTTAATAGCAAAAGGTGGCAGCGTGCAAAATGTGAGGTGCAATTGTAAAACGCGATAGTGGCAGTGCTTGTTAGGGCTTCCCATGACTGAGCAGCACAAAATAACCAAGGGATGCCCATGGCTAATGCAGCAGAATGTGGCTGACAGTAGTTGGAGTGTTTTGGAAAAAATATTTGCTTAATGCAAGTAGAACAATAGTAACTCTGTATAATCAAAGTTGCTTAAATGAAATAGAAAGTGAAGCTGCAGATGCCGATATACATACGAACATTTCACACTAATTAGTTGTTTCTCTCGAATTATTTAATCAATCTGTTAAAATCCTAAGAGTGGGTTTTAGTTAAGATTTTTCAGATAGTCATAGATCCACATATACACAAAAAAAACTCACTAAAAGCATGAGAGGAAAAGATGTAAACCAGTTTCAGACTGTATCAGCATTCCCCTTCGCTACAGGGAGAAGTTAATACTGAGATTAGCAGAAATTGGAATGAGGATTGAATGAACACATTAAGACACAACTTGTTAGCTAAAGAATTCTAACTTTTTGGAATTGATCAAAAATCAATATTCTTTTGTATTCCCCGTAATGAGAAATTTAAAAGTTCCTGTTCTGATTAATTGGCAATTAACAGGCAAACGTTACTTCTCTTATTCATTCATGGGATGAGGGTGTTGCTGGCCAGGCAGCATTTATTGCCCATCCCTAATTGCCCAGAGGGAAGTTAAGAGTCAACCACATTGCTGTGGGTCTGGAGTCACATGTAAACCAGACCAGGTGAGGATGGCAGTTTCCTTCCCTAAAGGACATTAGTGAACCAGATGGGTTTTTCCGACAATTGGCAATGGATTCACGGTCATCATTAGATTCTTAATTCCAGATATTTTATTGAATTCAAGTTCCACCCTCTGCCGTGAATGGGATTCAAACCCAGGTCCTCGTGACGCTATCCGGATTAGCGATAATACCACTAGGCCATTGCCTCCCCTGCTTGAATACCGTATCCATCGTGAAAAGTTTCATGGAGCAAGATAAGACAGTCTGGGAAAACATCATGAAGGACCAGGAGGTTGGGGTTGGGTGGGGGGTGGGGGTTTGGGGGCAGTTACAAGCCTGTCCTACTCAGCAATTAGCGAGTTTGAACTGTGTGAGATGCTGTACCTGAGAGCCAGTTAAAGAGAGACATCTCAACACTGCTGACCAGCAGGAATCAAAGCGTGACGGGCTGGGGTGGTGGTGGGGCATGTGGTGCTCTATGTTTAAAGTTAAGACATTCTGAAGCTTTGTGTACACCTTTTTGCTATGTGCTGTAACTGAACTGCAAATTGCAACAAAGGTCACTGGGATCTGCCCCATGAGTCTCAATAAAAATATGACATCGAACATAGGTACGTGGATGGGATAGGTATGGTGGGATATGGACCAAACGCAGGCAAATGGGACTAGTTTAAATTGTGAAAACCAAGCGACTTGGGCCAAAGGGCCTGTGTTCATGCTGTAGACCTCGATGACTCCAACAGTCACCCAGATTGGCTGTGGGGGTCTGGAGTCACATGTAGGCCAGACCAGGGTAAGGATGATAGATTTCCTCCCCTACAGCACATTAGTGAACCAGATGGGTTTTTACCAACAATTGGCAATGGATTCACGGTCATCATGAGACTCTCAATTGCAAATATTTATTGGTTTCAAATTCCACCATTTGCCATGGCAGGATTCAGACACCTGAACGTTACCTGGATCTCTGGATTAAAAGTCCAGGGATAATACCACTAGGCCATCGCCTCCCCCTAAACTTTTGAAAAATCCTTGTGGTAGCTGTCTGTGCCTGAATATGATCAAATGGCCACAAGGGGTTTTCTTTTCAACTGACACAGACAATCGAATGAAGTTTTAGCTGATGTAGTATTTCTCAGAGGATTAGATAGGGTGGACAGTGGGAGCCTTTTTCCCCGGATGGTGATGGCTAGCACGAGGGGACATAGCTTTAAATTGAGGGGTGATAGATATAGGACAGA